AGCGCATATTGCATAGCGCATATCGCTTATCGCTTATCGAAAACTCCAAAGTCGTAATTCAAAAATCGCATATCGCGTTATGCTAATAGCGCATAGCGCATAGTGCATAGCGCATAGCGCATAACGCATATCGCTTATCGAAAACTCGAAAGTCGAAAATCGCATATCGCGTTATGCAAATAGCGCATAGCGCATAGCGCATAGTGCATAGCGCAAAGCGCATAGCGAATAACGCACGATACAACTAATCAATGTATCGCAAAAATCTTCGGGTTAACAGAAGATAACGTACTCGTGATACAAATAAACCACTTCGAGTTGCTACTTTCGTTGTTGTATTGCAGATATATAGTGATCTTTACAGAATTAGGCACATTTTCAAAAAATAAATCTATCGAGAAAAGTTTGTACAATCGTGATACTGTCCGACGAACCTTTAGTTAAAGGACTGAAGTTACACATACAAAAATATCACAAATCAAATCTTTGTAGAAATCCTCTTCTATGCCTCCAAAGATGCCCAATTTGCCGTAACCGCCCCTTAATAATCCCACCATAGCCACATTATTTACTCTTATATAGCACACTTCTACTAACCATATACTTATTATTATTGCTGTTATAATTATTATTTTTTCTTTAGACTATTAGGCTTAGACTTAGACTGAATAAAAATTGAGTATATTAAATATTAAAAGAAAATGGGACACATTTTCAAGCACTACCTTGGTCAAGCAATAAGTAATAAATATCATACTGGCCGCCAAGAAAGCCATAGAAAATGTTTTTGTAATTAAGGAACGTAATTGGAATGTAGTGAAAAATGTGACGTGAGCGATGTAACAACATTTTATTTGTATTAAATGCCTTTTTATCAATTTATGTGAATACTTTGTGTGTTTTATCATTAAATAAAGAAGAATTTATCAATGGTACTAGTTTACATTTAATCAACCTTTCGGATAAAAAAGTGACATATAGACGACTTGAGTACCTCCATCTATTGGTAGGTCAGTCAAAAACAAAAATTTAAACTCTTTGGTACCTGAGTACAGACAAGGAGGTTTGTTAGACATTACGGTTTTAAGGTATATACGGAATATAAATAATTCTTTCATAGATGATGCGGGACCGATCAGTTCTCATGAGTTATGCAAGACAGCACAGGACGGCCGTCGGTGGGCGGTCCCACAATACTCCAACCGGTAATTAGGATATCATGCAAGTGAGTCGTCTCATTACTAATGCAAGAACTTTAATTACACCTTATTAATTAATAAATTCTATTAACAAGTTACTTAGCTTACAGTTACACAAGTCAAATTCTGGGACAATCAGTAGTTTGTACTTTGGTCTATTTGTGAGCTATCATTTCAATGACTGCACTATCTAGTAAATAATTGTTAACTGACTGTATCGTAAAAAAAAAGAAAACTAATAATCTATACATCACCGAAAGAACTCGTTCGGCCAGAGCGATTGGTGGCGGGTGCCGAAGGCAGGAGCAGTGCAATGAACTCGGGCGTGGCGGGCCTGAGCGCGGTAAGCGGGCACGCGGCCGTGCTGCGCCGCGCGGGCTACTGGCGGCTGAGCACCGGCTCCACGCGCGCCCTCCGCTCACACGCACTTTACCGCGTTTTAGTATTAGCGACTACATGCTTCTATCTTTTGCAGGAATGTATCTATGCGTACCAGGTATGAATAACATCATCCCACAACATTTTATTTCATAGAGCATATACATTATACATTTACCTCCGAACTTATGACTTGCTGAAATACTAGCTTTTTCCCGCTTTTGGCCTATGTGGTGGTAGAGCTTCCAGACTATTCTCTGCATATACTTCACATTTCATCTAGATTCGTTTCTCAGATTAAGCTACAAGCTCAAATATTTATCCTTGTAAGATTAGTAAGTATAATGATTTACTAGGAAAAAAGCGACATGGTGAAGATGTCCCGCGTCATGTTCCTGCTTCTGTGCCACGTGACGTCGCTGGCAAAGCAGTTCGTGTTCCTCACGGACGCCGACCGCATCGAGAGCATGGTCGCTGGTTTGGACGGTACCACTCCTTTGCCGAACACCAATTTTAATGCAATGGCAGTCGTTGCAGTCAGCGAACTCCCACAATTGTATTCAATAGTAATTGAGAACTGCAAGGTTTTAAAAATAAGGATATTCACTATTGGTCTGTCTAATATCGTAAAAATGTATGCAGGATTGCTGAAGTTTTGATTCATTTTATCATGACCTTGTGATTCATCAATGTTAGGTTAAACTAAATTTCAAAGAGAAAAAGTCAAGCTACGTATTTCCGAAATTTATTACAAGAATTCATCGAACCAAAAACAGTAACGAATGCTTAAACGTATGCGACCATTAATAAATTAAATGGTTACGAAGTATACATTTAAAAAAATGTGTGAATGTAGATTGTGATGGTATTGTGAAGTACTATCGAGCTGTGTGAAGCACTATCCGAGCACGGAGGAGCAATGAGCGTGCGCGTGTCGTTGTCTTTGGGCAGAGGCGACGCAACGTGCGCTACAGGTGCACACAGGCGCGGCGCGGGGGCTGCTGGCCCGCGCGGCGGCGCATGCGGCGAGGCTGCGACGCGGGTATGCGGGCTGCGCGGCGTTCACGTGCCTGCTGTGGGCTGTGTTCGCTGCGCAGGCGCACGCGCGGCGACAGCCCTTCGATTTCCCGCTTTGGATTGGAGTCGATACAACAGACACTACCGGGTGCGGCCTACTAAAACTTCTTCATCAGTATGTCTTATAAGAAAGAGACTAAGCAAACGTGAATGAGAGAGGCTCAAGTATACTGGCTTTATTTTAGATTCGTCATAGTTCTGCTGTATACATACTACGTCACGACATTAGTTGGCGTCGCCAACACTACGATGGACGCTTTTATAGCAACGGTACTGTATCAATGCAAAACACATCTCAGCATCCTCAGGTGATTCTTTAATTCCTACTTTTTACTATTCGTGAAAACTTGCTTTTCTTTCATTGGACATTCTTGCAATATCATGCTATATTTACTTGTTCATTAACTTTATGGACATTAAAAAGTAAACTCACATAAAATTACGTTAACACTCATAAACAAACAAATTTTTGTTTTAGTGATTTAGATGTAACAATGAAGCACGTCTTTTTTTAGAATGAATTTTGAGATGTTGCCGGAGAGCGCGAGCGCGCTGAGCAAGGCTAGCGGCCGGCGACGCGACGACGCGTTTGCGGCGCTCTTCGTGGATTGCTGGCAACAGTACAAAAGAATTTGCGAGTGAGTTGTCAATCTATCGGAACTTCTAGCATGCCTGGCTTCATCCTCAGAGCCTGACTAGTGCCTTTGCAGATACAAGCTAGAGTAACACTTTCGTTTGGCTTACTGTAACGAGGGTATACCTTAAGTTGTTAATGAGTATGTATGTATGTACGATTACGTATGTTGTGTACTCATGTATACATATATTTAACAGTGGGAGAGCCCGCTGTAACATCTTCGCACGAATGTGCCGTCTCGCCCGGTGTAATACCACAACAACACAGAAAACAGCCGTGAAGTGGAAGCAATTCCGCGCGTCTGATGAGTGTGGTGCTGAAGGCCTAATTTTTGTCCCATTCCTTTTCCACCCTTTTCTTAAGAGGAAAGCATGGGAAGAAAAAGTGGATTTGACGGTGGAGGAGACGCATAGGAAGGGGAAATATCCTCTTTTTTGTGCGTCTCCTCCTCCGTCAATGAAGGGTAGGCAACGCATCTGCAATTGCGGATGTTTAGGGGCAGCGGTCGCTTTCCATTTCGGTGGATTCAGGTGGTCGCTTGCTCGTTTGCCACCAAATATTATAAAAAATGATTAACGACAATATAGTAATGTATGAATTATATGTATTGTGTCCGATATGCATTACATATCGGACCCGTCGGGACTATATCATCGCGATCGCGTCGCGACTCGCACTGACAACTAGTTGATGCCGTTTCCAGAAGTATGATGGATTAACAACATAAGTTGATCCGTCTTTATTTCGTTAAAGAAGTCTATGTTTATGCTTTATTATATTAGTATAAATAAATACAACCATCGACAGAACGGCACTTTAACCGTCATTGACACATTTGTTTTAAATAAATACAGTAGCTGCTAAAACGTTCATACTTTACTGGAATATTCGTCAACGCATATCCGTGTAATTCTAGAAGCAGCTCAAAAATAAATGGTACGTACGATACAAGTCTGCTTTTAGATAAGTCAAAATGTTACAGCAATTGCCTTCACATAACTGTATTTCTTTAAACAATAAGTAGGCATCTGCAATTTTCTCTTGTTAATACGATTGCATTTCATGTCATATTCACGTATAAACATTTATTTATTTAATGAAATTATTGCTTTGGTACTTACAACTTTGGTGTAATACTTTAGAACGGCTGGGCTGGTGCAGGACATTTTCGGCGGCGCCATTCTGGTGCAGTTTGGCATCGGCGGCTGGATCCTGTGCATGGCCGCTTACAAGATTATCAGCGTGAGTGTTGCCTGCTCTCGTTGCCCCGCTATCCTGTTCCCACTAACGTTGTAGCGTGTATGGCCATCCTGCTCGCGCGAACCCGCGCCTCACGCCTTAGCCTAAACGAGCGTTTTGTAACGTTTCAGTTGGATTTCGTCAGTATCGAGTTTGCGTCGATGATCCTTTTCATCCTGTGCATCCTGACTGAATTATTCCTCTACTGTTACTACGGCACTGAGCTTACCGAGGAGGTAAATATACTCTAGAGAAGGTTCATGTTTATATCCGTTACATCTATGTCAATTCATTAAAATACCAAACACTACTTTTGTAATAGTAACAATAAGAATCCTTTTTAAAAGTGAGTATTGATAGATATGTGGAGGAGTAATTGAAACAGCGCTTGCTCAGTGCAGACTCGTTCATTAACGTCACGTAGACGCAGTCGTCGGGTACAGCCAACCGTTTATTTTTAAGCAAAATACATAAATAATGAAGTAAAATTAATTTGAATATAAATAATTTGGAACGCGGGTTACTAAAGAGAACATAAGAAAAGAAGTACATTGGTGATGCAAGTGTTTGATTACGTAGAGCTATATAATGTCGGTCATCGTCAGAGCGCGCTGGTGGTGGATGCGGCGTATGGCATGCGGTGGGCGGGCGAGGGGCGCGCGGCGCGCCGCCTGCTGCTGCTGCTGCTGGTGCGGGCGCGCCGGCCGCTGCGCCTCGCCGCCGGCCGCGTCGTGCCGCTCTCGCTTGACACATTTGCCAAGGTCAATGCAACTGTCTTTTGCTCGGAGTTACTCGCTATTAATCCATTTAACGATACGATTGTCGGAAAAATCTGTATCATACGCCACATGGGGGGGGGGGACCACGTCAGCAGTCTAAATGTTTTACCAGTTTTTCATTTTCAACTTTAATGCGATGTCACTATCCCGATGACATTATAACATTTATTGCAATAAAATCTGTTATCGTTTCAGATTCTAAAGTCGTCGTACACTTTTTACGCTGTTTTACGACAAACGAAATAGTCTCGGTCGCTGTAAACATGTTTCATAAAGAAACTCTAAAACATGTATCGTCTGTGTAAATTATTATTTATTATTACAATTAAAAAAAACATCAATGTTTGTTACGATGTTTTCCAAACCAAAGATCACTCGAAACAGTTTTATGAAATTTTAGTAGCACTTTCTGGGGGCGACAAAGAAAGTTTGTGCTCTTTTTAAAAAATGAACTGTTACGCGGCAGTACAACAGCAGTGTGAGTTGTGGGAATTGAGTCGTATCCTGGGTGCCGCCATTGCGCGACCGGCGACATAGGACACCATGGAGCACACGCTCGCTGTGTGCACGGGCTGGGACGCCCAACGCGCCATGTTCACTGGCGCAATAGGGCGGGATCGATTATCTATTGTAACCACAAACAATGTTCTATACCATCTATGTATTTATATTGTTGGATTGAAATAAATTATCTTTCATTTTACATTTTTTTTCATTTCATCTGTCGCTACCGGCCGTCATATGGTCGATGGTCGGTATCGAGCCCCTACCTAGGGGCTCCCCCTAGCCGGGTCGTGGATAAACTAACGTAGATGCCACAGCTCGCTTGGGCGAAGGAGAACACCGCGGGCTTTAGTGGGTAGTCCGGTCGAAATATAAGACCGGCAGTCCCATACGAAACGGACGGTGCAATGCGTAAATGCATTCCCCGCGACAATAAAAAAAATCAAATATACATACGTAATTCTCGAGAGCTATGCTTAGGTTTATATAAAAATGGGATAAATAGCATGTGGTATTCTTTCGAAATGATGACACCGTGTAATTGCTAAGGCTTCAGAATAGACACTAACTAAAATGACTGGGTTTTACGTGACATCTAACACATTTTTGTGGGAGCGAGACTCGGCATTTTTTATATTTTATAATTTTATTTTTCTTGATATTAGAAAAACAATGTCATTTTAAGTCAATTATTTATTACAAAAGAGTACTTAATTAAACCGTAATGGAACAACTCGGTGGTGCCTGCACGGATAATACACAGTGGCTGTAGAGCGGCGCATGAGGGGCGGGCGAGGCGCTCAGGGCGCGGCGGCGAGCGAGCGCGCGCGCGGCGTGCCCGGGCAGAGCCTGCACACAACACGCCGACGCTGTCACTCGCGCCCGAGCAGCGCTCATACGGGCGAGGGCTACTCTATGATTAGTCTAGAGGCATACATGCGCAAAGAATTGTATACATTGATGTATGTATGCGCTTTTCTAAATCGGGTTTAGTAAAAAATGGAGACACTATTCGACTACCGCTATTCTGCGAACGTTACATCATGCATGACTCTGGTCGTTGCTGCACTTCCCGTGGGTGCGAACTCATTTCGTTAGGAAGCCATGCCAGGTGGGGGAGGGGGGGGGGTAGGTTCAGCGAAGGAGTAGTGCGTGCTGGGATACGGGGAGCTGTAAGATATAACCCCATCTAATAAATTTTACTACCGTCTATCTCCTTAGAAACGGTGGCTTGGTTGAAAAAAAATGAAATTTGTATATTTTTAATTTTAAACATATTTATGTAATGATTTTTTAGCAAACATAAAACATCCTTCTTATAAAGAAAGTTTAGGAAACATGAACTCACATTTATAATTAAGTATATCATATATTGAAAAAAAAAAATAACAGACACGAAAGAACATCTAGTTAGACCTTCTCGCTTAGGATGTCGCTCACCTGGCCGTGGCGGTGGGGCCAGGCTCGCGGCCCCGCATTCTTCGCCGCGTGCCCCGCCGCGTGCCCAGCCGCTCCACCGAGCCCCACTCGGCAGCCGGCAACGTGTCTGCAAACCGTAGTTATAATTCTACAGTATTAGTACATTCCTCGTGTAGATGCCCATTACACAAGGGGCGCCCCTGCGTACCGGCAAGACGCGCGGCGGGCAAGCGGTACAGCTCGGCGGCGCACGAGGCGCACGGCGACCCACTGGATTCCGACCCGCTGCAGTAATCTGCGCAACACGTTGATATCATGAAGCATATACATGTGCGACGGGAAAAAATATTAGTATGTGATATTTAATGCAAAGTGTTGTGAGGCGACCTGGTGCGTGCGCGGCGTGCGGGCGGTGCGGGCGCGGCGGCGCGGCGAGCGGCTCGGCGAGCGCGGGCGCGTGCAGGCGCAGCTCGCAGCCGCGCGCGCCGCTAGTGGCCGACGATGTCATGCTGAACGTCGCGTATGGACTGATCTGTTGCAGCTCATCTGCAACCAACGCTATCTTTTTTTCTCACTAACTCAGCGAAAAATTCTATTGTGAGATTTTAAATCTTTACATCTTGTCAAATTTGTTTAAAAGATATTCGGCTTTTGATCCGCCAATTTTTTCAAATAAGTTTCTTAAGTGACGGATCAAAAGTTTCGTATCAGTTTTGTAACAAGATGTCGATATGTGTCGTTTATGTTTCGCGTTTCAGTAATTCTAAAGTTTCGTGTTTTTTTCATTATCTAAAATAAGTTTCTCATTCATGTACTACCTATTATTTTAATACAATTTGTATTATGAAAAGGAAAAGTTAGTCTGTGCATACGCATCTATCGGAGCGTAAATATGTTATAGTTAGGATGTTTCTAAATCTAGGCATTACCGTCAGGAATCGGCAATTTCTTGATGTCGGGATGTGCGGTAGTCGCGGGGCGCCGGCGGCGGCGCGCGGCGGCCAGCGCGGCCCCGGCCAGTAGCGCCAGCGCAGCGCCGCACAGCGCCGCGGCTGCCGCCCCGCGCCCGGCACCGCGCCACCCCGCGCCGCCCGCACTGCTCACCCGCACAGACACCTCACTCGGAGATCCGATCCGTTCTAGTTTTATTTAATTTTTTTAAAGACATTTAAATTTTTTTTTAAAGATCTTTACAATTTGCGTAGGCAATATAAAACAGGCTGCATTCATGATCGGTCGGTACGAGTACAGTACGTGTTATAGCCTGAACAGTTTCAGTAACTGTTTGTCTTCTACGTAACTTTGTCCAAAAATTATTACGACCTGACCAAAGCAACAAACGATTCCTACAAAGCAATGACTGCGCCATCTGTTACGGTACGGCAGAAACAGCGCAAACATTTCCGCCCACCAAGAACTTTGTTCTTTACAGCCTACCATGGTGTGATAGTACATGGTTTTGCACCATTCTTTCTGTGTTGTTTCGACCTCCCGCAGTTGTGTGTAATACTAATTACATATACTCGTATGGAAATTCACAATTGCCAAATATGGAGTTTACTGTGCCTAATATATATGATCCCAATTTTGCTTTCTAAGCAGTCCGTGTAAAATTAAAAAATAATAAAAAGATTAGCCTATGTTACTCACTGATAGCGAAGCTTTTTAATGATGAAAGATATTTTGAAATCGGCCCAGTAGTTTTTGAGTTATATATACAAATATACAAATCTTCCTTTTTATAATATTAATATAAGTACAGATATAAAAGTTTAGAATTACCTCCATTTAGTGTAAGAGTCGCCGCTCTGTAGAAAGCGGTCGTTTCCCCGGCCGGCGAAAACGCGCTAACCCGAATTTCATACCAAGTTCCCGGCTCTAAGTTAGTCGCCTGTAGATATAGGAATGTACTGCTTTTATAGATAAAATACATAAAAGGAGGTTTGACTACTGGAATGTAGGTAACTGAACCATTCTATTTGGAACACCAAACTAGTTCCTTCTTCATCCACCCATTTACGCATAAATGGTCTTCGGTTACGTTATGCTATGAAAAAGGCAAAATGAGACATGGGACGCGGTAGCGGCTGGCAACTGGCGGCCGGTGGCGAGAGGC